ACTGTCCCCGCTCGCACAGGTGGCGGGGTGGCTCCGCCTCTCACCTGGAACTCTCCCGACACACTCGAAGAGTGGGAGTCCAAGCGTGGATCGGCCTGCCAGAGGGGGGGCTTTGGAGTTACAGACTAGAGAACCGTGGGGCTCGAGAACGGTGGGGCCGAGGGCACCTGGCTCACCTGCTCCTTCCCACCACCCAAACCCTCGGAGAGGAGGCGGACCACAGAGGCTTGGGGCCTCTGGCTAAGGTGCCTCGTCCCCACAGGCCCCGCCTTTGCGACCCTTGGCATCAGAGGAGGTGAAGGAATGAATTCCTGAAATGCTCTTGGTTAAGTGCACTCTGGCTCAGAGAGGGGCCCTCTGTCACCCTCCCTGTCATCTTCACCAGCCTTCGGACCCAGCCAGTTCAGACCCACCCTACCTGGCCTGACAGCTGCAGGGCGAGAGGCACCTTGAAGGATGGGCTTCAGGTGGAGTTCACCTGAGCACCGCGCTTGCACCTGCTGGGGCTCCCAGCCAACCAAAGCGATGCCACCTGTTGGTTGAGGTTGTAATTTGTGTGGAGGCCGCCAGCCCTTTAACCCCTTGAGTTCCATGAAGTATTTTCAGTTCTATTCTGGGGCTTCAGAAGGCAAGGCAGGCATGAAAGAATTTGGGGGGTGGGGGAGGGGAGTGGAAGGACCACGAACTCTACACATTGTACAGAACATTTCGATGCCCAAGGGGATCTATCACCTCGCCCAAATCACCTAGAATATTCTAATAGTCTGGGATGCTGGATCTCTGGCCTTAGCCATCTACATCTCCATTTGAGTGCCCCAGATGTAAGTCCTTTAGCAGTCAATTCTGGAAATGGTCTTAAAGGAGAAGCAGAGAAAAACTGGATGATTGAGCATTTATCAAGAAAAAAAATTTCATGACACCTGCTTCCTGAGTGAAGATCTGATAAACTTTGTTTTACAAAAACAAGTCTGGCAAACGATGAGATTTTGCAAATCCTAGCCACACTCCACACTGCACTGAACCAACAAGATGAAAGAACTGCTTCTACTCAACATCGAAAAAGAGAAGCAGCCTGTGTCAAAACCACCAGGCCCAGCTCTGTCCCGATACAGTTACATAATGTAATACACACGCCCTGTGTTTGTGTCACCTATCTCCAAAGAACTCCAAGTGTGTGGGAGTTCATCTAAATCACCGAATTTTTCAGACTGTAAGACGCACCTAGGTTTTAGAGGAGGAAAATAGGGAAAAAATTTTTGAAGCAAAAAATGTGGTAAAATATTTAATAACATAAATAACATAGGCCACCACCACCCTTCCCCCCACATCGAACCAGGTGAGCTACATTCTGACTATAAGACGCACCCTCCTTTTCCTCCTAAGTTTGGGGGAGGAGAAAAGTGGGTCTTATAATCCAAAAATACGGTAACTTTGATAAATTCAAGTAGTAGTTATACTTGGATTTTCAGTTGTGTGGGAGGCCAGCACCCCTAACTAACTCCCTGTTGTTTGAGCTCAACTATATTTTAAACCCTTGACATAGTAACTCCACTTATAACCAGGATTGACAGTAAATGTACAGCATTGAGATCTAAAAGTTTATTCCTATAAGAAACCTGTGTTTTTGGGTCCAGTTGTCTTGTCACACTTGAAAGTCTCTTCAGCCATGTTCATCTGTTTAAGACATGTAAATAGAGCAGGTTCCTTGCATAATAATACTCAAACTACCCAGGGCATTTCAGATGTAATTTAAGTCCGAACTTGGATGGTCCTCACCTCTCCGACCATCGAGAAGGTATTATGAACCAGAGACAACGACGTGCTCTGGCCCAGGCTGGCCCCACTGTGCGAGGGACTGGCCAGGCGAACACCTTCCGAGCATCTGTGTGCAGATACGGGTGACCTTTAAGCCTGCCTCTCCTATGAACTTGGTTCTAATCCACCCGTCTAGATAGAAGTCCCACATCCTCCCGTGTTTGATGTTGTGTCCACTTGTGGTTGACTTGCAGGAGCAGCTAAACCTTTGTCCGCCTCGTCAGTGTCATCGGCCTCCTCATTTCCACACGACATCGCAGCTCAGCTGTGTGGCCTGTCGCAACCCTTGTGGCCGTTCAGTAGGTGAGGGAGAATGCCAAGGCCAGGCCTCGGGCTGATACTGTGTGCGGGCTCACCACCCGTGCGTCGACCTAGAAAAGCATGTCACAGAGAGGCTGATGTGGGCGGGGTCACTGGCTCCTAAAAAACACATCTTCTGGGATAACCCATCTAAAATACACCACTTTTAAACCACATTTCAATCATCCACTTTATGGAAAAATTTGCATAGAGGCCAATGTAGGGACCCGGTCACCACATGGCTTGCAAATCGCTTACATTCGGCGTTATCACCTGCCTTCGTTTTTACACCAGGGGAGTTGCCCGTCGCCTCCAGACTCACGATGGTGCACTGGGTGTGACCAGCGCTAGGTGCCGAGAAAAGGCAGGGAGCTCGGCGCTAAGGCAAGACCCGGAGACAGTGTGGCTCACAGCTCTGAGCGCCGTGACCCTGGCACGTTACCCAGCCTCGCCAAGCCTTCGCTTCCCCATCAGAAAGGTGACATCAAGACCTGCCTCACGTAGAACACCGTCGAGAAAGCCTCAGTGTACTGTGGGCTCCCAACTCACGACTCCTTTTCTAGCCTAACTTATTTTTCACTACCGCCTATCATGAAACACTTCCCACACACTTTTTGTGAGACCCCTTTGGTTGCAAGACCAAGACCCCAGGTCAGACCAGTTTAAAAAGGGAAATTCCTCCGAAGGGAACAGAGCATCGTGGAGCATGTCGCAGAGCCAGGGGTCTCAGGAATGGCCTGAGGCCAGGGAAGAGGTGCCACTGCGGGGCGGGGGCCGTCTCTCTTTGGGCCGCTCTGGAAATGCTTCTTCTGAGAGTCCATTGCCTCCTCCTCCAGCAACGCCTCTCTCCTTCTGCTCCTCGGACCATGTGGGTGGGGCGGGGCCGCTCCCAGCCGCAGCTCTGAGCTTCCCCTGGTCCATCCCAGGGGGTCCCCAGGGCTGGCGCAGTCAGCTGAGGCTGGCAGGGCAAAGTCCCCTTGTGGCCGCTGCCCCTGCAAACTTGGGGAAGACGCAGGGGATAGGGGACAGGAGGTCATTCTTGGGAAGAGGGTGCTGGGCAGACCGTCCAGTAAGGGCCCCTGTGACTTTTTCATAAAAATGAGAAATGCCATTCTGGTGAGCAGTTTACAATGGAGAGTTTTCTGAGTGGACTACATGCTGACCCCGAAATGTCAAGGTGAGATTTGGCTGGAGACAAAAAAAAAAAAAAAGGCATAGTCAGAAAGGGACCAGCTTGTTTGCTTCCTTGTGTGCTTCCCGCCTGCGATTGCATCAGGCTGGCCTGAGGGGGCCGCGGGGTGGCTGTGCCATCCCGGTCGGTCACACCTTGCAGGCCCGCTGCCGAGGAAGGCCAAGCATGGAGAAGGGATTCAGGAAACTTATCAAAAACCATTACAATGTTTTCAGAGCCAGACAAGAAGTCATTAAAATGTCTTAGGCGCTGTGGTCCGAGACGAACATGAGAGCGCGCTGGATTTAGTCAGGCAGTTGAGCGATGGCTGGAAGACTCGGAATGCCGAATTTCGAGCTGGGTGGGACTCCGGCGCGCTCTGCCCAAGGGGGTGAGAAAGTGAGGCGGGGGCTGAGAGAGCCGGCCTGGCACTTTGCCACACTGCCCTTGTAAGCGGGACAGTCAGGAAAAATGAATACCTCGCACCCCATGGCAGACCAGAAATAACGGGGTCACCGGTGTGGCCCTGGTCCCCCTAATAAATGAAGGCTTGAGCATTTTCATCCTTCGCTGATTCTCAGGCGGAAAACGGGGTCACCCCTTTCTTCTGTGATGCGATTGTCGGGTGACGTGACCTCTGTGGGTATCACCAAGTGCCAGGGTGGCTGTTTCCCCCTGAGAACAGCACACCCTGAGCTGGGCGAACGTGGGCCTTCTCCCTGTGTGGGTGGTGTCCGCTGTGCACCTGTGGTGTTTGTGCTGGTCGTCCCCACTCCGGCCTCCACTGCTCTGCCAACTTCCTTCACAAGTTTATCTCTTCTCGTCAGCGACATGTGTTGGTCTCCAGGCCTTTTTTCCTACAGGGCATGCACAGAACCCATGAGGCTGGTTGCAAAATTCACCTGACTCGAAAGCAGCGAACGCGGAGTTGCCCGTGGTCGGGGAGGCTGCGGAAGGGGCCCCGGGAGACCTCTGCAGCATCACCCTGGGCCGCAGGGCAGAGGGCAGCGGCACAGGTTAAGGAGGGGACATCTGTATCCGTCAGAGCAGAGAGCTGGTCTGGACAAAGATGCCCACGCAGGGACAAGGTCAAAGAAGTGGCGGGGCCGCCTTGCAAACAACCTGGGGAGAACACAGAATGCAAACCCTAAAAGAAAAACCCAGTATGGGAGAAACAACATCCCAGCAAAAAATAAATAAATAAATAAATAAATAAAAAGACATTCCTCCCAGGTTTTGCAAGCCACCTGTACCAGTGGACTCCATAAGTATGAGAATGATTTAAAATGCACTCAAATATGACAAACAGGATGGGAGACGAAGCAGGGGTGCAGAGTTAAGGCAACAGAGCCACCCCACGAGAGACACCAGGGGACAGCTGGAGCGCCGCGCCAGGGCCTGCGACCTCTCGCTCTCCATAGACCGGGGTGCTCAGTGTGGTTCTCAGCAGCAGCAGCAGCAGCAGCAGCAGCAGCCCCTGGGACCAGGGAGCAGTGGCCATCCTCGGGCCCCAGCGCCGGGCTGTGGTGCCACACGCCCCCAGGAGAATCTGCTGCCCTTGTACACGCGGCCACCGCAGGACTGGCTCCTCCTCTCGGGCCCGGGTCTGGGCCCAGCACATCGGCCAGCCCGAGTCCCGAGCCAGACCCCTCTCCCTGGGCGGCCCTAAAGGACACTCCTGAAGGACAGAAACACAGCGGACCACGAATGACCCTGGAGTTCGTTCACTCGTTCCATTTATTGAGCGTTAAGCACCGAAGAAGGCATTCACCAGTCCTGGACGACTTTGTCACGGACCAGCTGGCCGTGAGGCCCGGTGGCGTCCGGGGGCAGCAGGGCCAAGTAGACGGGGGTCTCGGCCCCCTCCTCCACGGTCCTGGAGCCATACTCCCCGGCCATGTCCGTCTTCACCCATCCGGGGCAGCAGGCATTCAGCAGGATCCGGTCGGCCTTTCTCTTCTCGTCCAGGCGCCGGGCCAGGATCCTCGACAAGACCGTGACCCCCAGCTTGGACACCCCGTACGCCGAGCTGGGCCAGCCCTCCCTCTCGTGCACCTCGTTGCGGGCGTCCTCCACGAACTTCTTCATGAGGTCCACCAGGTCCTCCTCCGTGAGTGTCTCGCAGCGGAACTTCTCCTGCAGGTCTTCGCTGCAGTTCTCCAGCGCCCGGGACCCCTGCAGGCTGCTGATGTTCACCACTCTGCCTGCAACGGGGGGACGCAAACCGTGAGAGCACGTCACACACACAACTGTCGGACGGCTGTGCCAGCAATGGGCCGTGATTGCCTGCTACCACGGGCTCAACTGCTGATTAAAAATCGTGACCCGCTCTGGCTGGCGTAGCTCAGTGGATTGAGCGTGGGCTGGGAACCAAAGTGTTGCAGGTTCAATTCCCAGCCAGGGTACATGCCTGGGTTGCAGGCTATAACCCCCAGGAACTGCACATTGATATTTCTCTCTCTCTCTCTTTCCCTCTCTAAAAATAAATAAATAAAATCTTAAAAAAAAAATCGTGACCCTAGAAGGCACTAGTGGGGTTTAATTGCTTTTCTTTTTGTCCTGCTCTCTTAAAGGAAAGAACCCCCTTCCATCAGGCATTGGGGCTAAAGAGCAGTGATGCCCCATTCGGTGAGGTGGTCTGCAGGAGAATCACCGGGTAGTGTATAAAACGCCCCCGCCCTCCTCCCACACACCCCAGGGGCTTCGGAACCTGCTTTCCTAGGGATAGCACCTTCTCCCGGAACTTGAAAGCTCTCCAGCGGTTTGCACAATTCCCTAGGGTCGGGCCGTGCCTTTGGGATGACCCTTGCCCATCCCTAATAATGGATATTTTCCCACATGGAGTGGCATTGATTCCCACCCTGGTTTTGATTTTCCTTACATGTTAAGCAGTTGTTAATAAATAATGAAATATAATTAATGAGTTAATGTTCGTAATAACAGTAATTCACAGCTAGTAAAAACACAGTTCTGTCCGTAAACACAAATAGGCAGGCCCAAATTATAAAACAATTTGAAGTGTTGGTGGAAACCCCCAAAGCAGTACATGTGTGAGTTTACACATTTCATCCAATAGAAAAACACCAGTTTGGGAGGATTCTTGTCTTAGAATTTTTCTGAGTCTGCTCCTGTTGCTTCCCACAGGATAACTGGATTTTGCCTCCTTTTCTGAGCGGCATTCCCCCCAAGCACACGGCCCCGGACGGAGGTCGCTCACTCTGCCCCTGAAAGGGAGCTCCCCGGCCCCCCAGGTACCTAAGACTCCTGGTGTTTTCTCTCTTTCCTTCCTTCATGACTCCTCTCCCTCTCTAGCTGGTCACAGGCATGTCCTTCCCAATTTTAACTTTTACTGAAACCTACAGAGAAGTTGCCAGAATAGGTCAATAAACGCCCACATAGCCTTCATCTAAGTTACCAGTTATTCACATGTTGCCGCACTTGAGACACTTATCATGGCACAACGCTATTATCTAAAGCGGGGATTTGCAACCTGTGTGCTGCAAGAATTTTTAAAACAGTCAATACCTGCCTATTTAGGCAGGGCACTGATCTCTTTTCCCCTTAGTTGTCAAATAAAAAATGACAACAGCCAACACAACAATAGCCACCCGGTGTGAATGCCCTGTCTTGAACCTTAAATACATAGGCCATGTAACAGAGTTGCATCTTATTGGTCATATTGCATAGTAAGGTTGTGTCTGATTGGCTAATTCGTGGTACCAGAACTCCTTATACACAAGTATAGACACATGAGTTTTTAAAAAGTCATTTTCAAGTGCACTGGCTGGCGTGGCTCAGTTCATTGGGCGCCATCCTGCAAACCGAAAGGTCACAATTCCTGGTCACAGCACACGCCTGGGTTGCGGGTTTGGTCCCCAGTCAGGGTGCGTGCAGGAGGCAACTGACGGATGTTTCTCTCTCACACCAATATTTCTCTCCCTCTCTTTCTCCCTTCCTTCCCTCCTTCTGGAATCAATAAAAAAGAAAAAAAAATTTAAAGTCACTTTGAAACAAAAAAGGTAGGTAATTACTCTGTTTTTGTAAATCAATAAACATCATACCCGTTTTTTGTCAGATTGGCAAAAAATGTATTTCTGGTGTGCTGCAGAGTTTCGGTAACGAGTGTGTGTGTGCGGGGACACGAAAGGGTTGGAACCCGCTGCTCTGAGGGCAATCCGTGAACATGTCCCCAGCTGTCCCCGTCCCCCTCCCTCCTAGGGTGCGATCGTTTCCATCCCGGCTCCAGGATGAGGTCATGGGTGGCATGTAGCTGTCCTATCTCTTCAGTCCACTTGACTCCAGAGAACTTGACCTTTTGGGAGACGCTGGTCCAGGCCACTATTCCGCAGCATTTCCCCCGGTGTGGACTGGCCCGATGTTTTTTTGTCTGGGTCCACGTCAGTATTTTGGCCCGCAGCCGTGCGTGGGCGATGCTGTGTCCCTCACTACTTCCTGAACAGGTTTGGTCTCAGCCACTTGGCTGCTACTGGGAATTACATTTAAAAGGGAAAGAAAGAAAAGAAAAACAAATTGCTGGAACTACTCTATGCCTCTGATGGAAACACACCTAAGAGGAAGGGGTGTCCTCTTTGCTCTGAGGATGACGCACCTCTGGGAGAGGCCAAGGGGTGACAGTCCCAACAGCCGGAAGGGTCCCAGTGAGCCCTGGGAAGGGCCACACCCACATCACGTGCAGGCCCTCAGCTGAGCACCAGGTAGTCGGCGGCACAAGCCCAGAAACCCCTCCCTGTTTCTGGAAGGAGTGGGCAAGCGGCTCCCCCTAGTGGCTTGATACTTGCTTAACCTATTCACTCAGAACCTCGAAAAAACAAGCAAGCCGAGAAACTTTCATTACAGTGGTATTATAAACCTAAACCAAAAGGGGCTTTTAAACCAGGGAGGAAGCAATTCCCTAAAAATCAAGAGGCAAGAGTACTCAGCATTTTGCCATCCAGGTAAATGTGAGGTTCACTGAAAAGTGACAAATATCCCCCAATGTGTTGGAAAGCAGAGATTCTGCTCTGGGAAATGCTGGTCTAGAATGCATTAAAGACAGTGATTCACCTGTTCTGGGCTGATCCCTGAGCCCCACCCTCCTTAGAGGCTTCTTTATTCTTTCAAAACAGCGTGGTCTGCAATCACTCTGCACAGCAACCCTTACTTCCCTGGAATTAACTATCCTGATTTGATTGAGGGGTGCGGTCAGGAAAATTGGATACTGTTGCCAGCTCTATTATTACTTACCACCAGGCTGCGCTCACTTGAATCTCAATTTCCTTCTCTGACAGTGAAGGTATAGGAGCGTAATTTTCCCAGTAGCTTGCAAGCTTTCAAGATAATTGTGTGATTTGAAAATCCAGAGGGAGGAGACTTCCTGGTACTCAGCTAAGAGACATCCCCACAGTGAAGTCCCGTGCAGGGGTAAGAAAGCTCTCTGTCCTGATCAGGAAAGAGCCCCCGACGGAGTAAGTGAAGAAAACAAGGTGGCAAACATGATACTCAACGTTCCCTTTTATGTTTAAAAAAAAAAAAAGAGCAAAAATATGCATTTAGGTTTGCTTAGATTTGAATTTAAAACCCCATTCCCTAGGCCCTGGGCACGCACCAGCCCCGGGCACCTGGGCCCAAGGTATCCTTCTGCCAGCACCTGCAGCTCCACTTGGGGGTTCTCTGTGACCCCACCCTCCTGAGACACCAATAGAGAGAATTACCTGGGCAAGCTGGGGGGAGGTTGGCGGTACAGATACAACTCTCACCAGGGAACTTGTTAGATTTTAAGATTTTTGCACTACAGATCATCTTTGTTCAAAACATTAAATTTTTTAAAAAAGATTTTATTTATTCATTTATAGAGAGAGGGAAAAGGAGGGAGAGAAACATCAATGTGTGGCTGTCTCTCGTATGCCCTCAAACGGGCACCTGGCCAACAACCCAGGCATGTGCCCTGACTGGGAATCGAACTGGTGACCCTTTGACTCCCAGGCCGGCACTCAAAATATTAACATTTAAAAAACACGTTTGTAATAAGAACCAGAGAGTTGCTTTTCCTCAGAATCACAGTTGGCTTTTTGAAAAAGAAAATGCTCAGGGAAGCAAGCCTTCTCCCCCGCCCCCTCATCCAGCCCAGCTGTGACAGAAACTTAGGACCCTTTGTTAATGATGGTTTCCCCCTTGGGCTCTGTGCTCCAAGGGCCTGATGGTCCCTGCCGGCACGGTATGCCCAGCACTCAGAGTAGCCACTGGGTCACGGTAGGCACACAACAAATATTTGTGGACAATGTAATTAAAGTCATGTATTGAATACTTCGGAAAGTGGGCAAGATATTTTCGAATAAGGAAAATCTCCTTTTTATTTTTCACCCAGCAATAGGCACACTTCGCATAAACCTCATCGGCTACCATACTTGGCAAAGCAGAAGGAAAACTTTCTTGGGGGTGTTCTGAATCAGCCCGACAAAGTTTGGTAGGAGGAGAAAGGAATACAGGGAAAGGCATATCAATGCCAGAGCAGAAACGACCCCTCAGGCCCCCAGATGACATGGGCGTGGCCCTGCCACCTTGGGGAGCTGGAGGAGGGATCAGGGAGGTAGCAAAAAGGTGGGAGTTTTGAGACCTGCAATACCTTGTCGTTCTAGGGCTTAGTTCGTGGTGTGGGAGGCCCGAGAGCATGGCCCTGTGTCATACACAGCTGTTAAAGCTAAAGCCATGGGGTTTGGGTGAGGAGTCGGATACATTACAAAAATGCCTTTTACTGTTTCCCCCACAGAGAAATAGCGCCCCCTGGGCGAGTCCTCGGGGAAGCACAGATGCAATTCCACAATCCACCCCCAGACTCACCGTGAGGTTTTATTATCGGCAGTAATTCGGTGCAGACATTTCTCGTAGCAAAAAAGTTGGTCTTCAGCGTTATCTCAGCTTGAATGTCAAAGGGTGTTGGATCGTCAACTTTGAAAAAAGAAAACAAGAAAAAAAATCGGGCATTTTTTCCTGGAACTCTTATAACAAAGTGGATCTTCCCTCTCATTACAGGGGGGAAAAAAAGCTAACTTGACAATTTTTAAACCAGCAGGTCGGTGGTTCTCAAACTTCAATCACACCTCTGCATCACCTGCGGGGCTTGTTAAAACAGCTCTCTGGGCCGCGCCCCCAGAGTTTGGATTGGTTCCCAGGTGGCGCCACAGCTACTGGTCTGCGTGCGAGCCGGGACTTGAGGACTGTGCCTCAAACGTGGACGGCCAGAGGGGGCACCTGCACCCTGCTAAAACGCAGGTTGTGACTCAGCAGGCGCGGGACAAAACCGGGAGTTCTGTGTTCGCAGCCAGCGCCCTGCGTTGCAGGTGCTGCTGGGCGCCGCCCACACCTTGAGGGGCAAGGCTCCCCGCGGCCCTCCACGGCCGCACGGTGTTCCCCACCTGCCCTGGGGCAGCCGGGTGTTTATCCACCAGTCCCCCAGCCGTAGGCTGCCCGGGGTGTCAGCCCTCCCCACCCCCAACCCGCTGCGCTCGCGGGAAGCCCGCAGGCTGAGATTGCAGGGGCGCATGCACAGCCACGGCGACTACTCAAGGCCAAGGGCACGGAAACTCCTGCTGCCCAATAGTTCCTTTTACTCGGTTCTGCCTCTGGGTTTCCCTTCTCCATTAGGTGCTGAGTGGGGCCGGCCTGGTATTTCTTTTTACCCGCAGCACGCACGATGGCAGCTCAGTAACTTTCTTCCCTGAGCAACAAAGTAAGCAATCGCCTTGATTTCCATCCCTCCCCCTCCCCCCGCCCCAAGTATCGAAGATGCGGCTTTAAAACCACCCTTGTATGTTTCACAAACACAGGTTCCCTGGGAGAGGGAACGGGCGCGCTTCCTTCCATTAAACAAAGTCCCCAGTCCAAAAACGTGCAAGAGCGCGCTAATGGAGTCTCGGATTCATTTCCTGCCCCGGGCAGCTGGCCCTGGGCAGATGGCCCCGGGCATCTGTGAATGCGCCCTTTCAGGAAAGCGAAAGCCGGAACAGAGCTTGGAGACCCTTCGCGGAGAAAACGTTTCTGGCCTTAGACAGAAAGCGGATGAGCTCAGCAGGGCGTGGCCCCCTCCCAGGAGGCAGTTTACTTGTTGCAAAGCGCAGCAGCTGACAGTTCCGCGGGGGCCTCGCACAGGCCGGCACAGGCCGGCGGGAGGGTGGGGCGCGTTGTGCCCCGCACCCCGGCCCCTTTGGCACTGAGCGAACCTCTCCCGCAACTCTGGGAAGCCAAAGCCCGTCACAGGAGGCGGCGGCCGAAGGTATTACGAGGGGCGCACGCTGCCCTTCCCGGCCACTCAAGTGGATGGGTGGGGGCGCCTGCGGCTCGCAGCCCCGCACCCTCGGGCACCCAGGGACCTCCCACTCCCCCACCTACACTTGAAGGCGATGCCCGCGTTGTTGACCAGCACGTTGAGCCCCCCGTACTCCTTGCGCAGGAAGTCCCGCAGGGCGCGGATGCTCTGCAGGTCGTCGATGTCCAGCTGGTGGAAGCGCGGGCTCAGGCCCTCTGCCTGCAGCTGCTGCACGGCCGCCCGGCCCCGCTCCGCGTCCCGCGCCGTGAGCACCACGTCCCCCGAGAACTGCCGGCACAGGTCCCGCGCGATGGCGAAGCCGATGCCCTTGTTGGCCCCGGTGACCAGCGCCACGCGGCTGCAGGACGACATGGTTGCGTGGGTGGTGGGGGGGCGGGGCACGTGCTCAAAGAGTGAATGGAGCTGGAGGCCACGGGGCCGGGCACCCTCTTCGGAGACCCGGTCACAGTCAGAAAGGCCGCACAGAACAGAGTTCTGGGACTCAGCGCCGGACTTCCAGCAACGAGGCTGCGGCCTTGGCCCCTCCCTCCAAGGAGGGGCCTTCTTTTCCCAAGCTTTCGTAACTCCGGATTCCTGGGTCCGCCCCCTCCTCGCGCTGCAGGCTCCGGGAGGCTCCTCTGAGCCCGGCAGTCCGTCCAGGGTCTCTCCGCGGAGCGGCGGTTGTTCTCCCAACACCGGACCGTGATGGGTCGGTAGGGTCTAGAGATCCTGGCGGTTGGACTGAAAAAAACTATTTTAGGAGAAACCCAAACAGAGAAAAACTAGTGCTGCGTGTTTTTCTTGGGTGTGCGCCCAATGTCTCTTATAAGATGAGAATGTTCGTTTTTTCCTTAAAATGCAACGACATTATTTAGACCTGGTAACCGCTCCTGGGCACATAGGTGTCGTTGCTTGCTTAGGAGGAACTCGAGAGAGAGCAAAAAGGCCCTACAAGTAGTTACAGGTGTGCGGCGGGGTACGTCGCTCTGAGTGATTCTCGGGGCGCCCCCACGCGGAAGGGAATGTTGAGGAAGCTCTTACCGTGTGTTAAGCCCTTTATTGGAATATTGTTTTTTTTTTCTTTTTGATCCTGTCATAACTCCTAGGGGTGCCAAGTACCTGCATTTTGGGTTTGTCCAAGGTGATATGTATACTTTTTTTTCCCCTCCCAGTGAAATCTGTGTACCCAGAAAGTTCAGCTGAAAAGGAGATCCCAAAGGTGTGTCAGGGTGTGGATGGGCAATGAGAACTCCCCCGCCCGCTTTCCTTAGTGTAACCTGAGTGTGTTTTATCTGAGGGCATTTGGTGGTGACTGGTGGGTGGATTTAGGGAGAGCTTCGACCTCATCATGACTCAGCTTTTCCCAAGCACCGCAGGTAAGCTGCCTGCTTGTCACTTTGACTCCTCCTCCTCCATCAAGACAAGAGGTGAGAGGTCTGGAAGGTAGCACCTGCTATGGGGCAGACACAGGCAGGGCAGAGTGAGCCTCCTTCTTAAGGGCCCTGAAATTTTTGCGATGATACATGAGCACTGGCTTCAACTTAAAGTGGCAGCTGCCTTAGCCCCCAACAAGAAGGTCAGCCTGTCCTTGGGAGCTTTGAAACCAGGCACCGACTTCCGCTCTCGAGCCGGGAGGGTCCTTGTTGGTGTCTTCTTCCAAAGCGAGGCCGTGTCGTCTGCACCGAAAATCTGTGGTTGAGTGCAGCCACCTTCGTAATCGCCCTGGCTGGTTTTCTGGGCGACCCGCTGCAGCTTCGCCACCAGCGCGTGCTGCTCCCTGGGCACTTGAGTGTCACGGAGACGGCCTCTCTCCTTGAACCTCAAGGACGAACTTCTGCCAGCTTTGCTTTTTCTTCTGAAGCTTCCGCACCTCTCCTGGACGAATTCCTACAAGCCCTGCTAAGTGGGCTGCGCTCTGCTGCTGAAGGGCTTTCCAGAGGATAGCGAGTGCGCAGAGGGGACAGAGGATGCTCAGAAAGAGAGAGACCAGGAAGGGAGGTGCCTGAGGAGGGTTCGCAGGTCTCCAGAGACAGCGGAAGGCGCACTGTGGAGCTGGGTCGGGGGAGCGCTCTAGGGACAAATGTAGCAGAAAAACTCTTAGGGCCTGGTGGTAGTTCCTGACTACTTCTGGGTTTGCTTTTCCCAGCTCAAATACAGTTTTTCTCAAATAAACTCTTAATTTGTTGATATGCCTCTATTTCTCTCTTCGTAGTACTAAAGAGTTCTGCAGAAAACAGTTGATGCTAGATCAAGTGTGCGTGACAGTTGATCAAGGACAATCAAATGGGGACAAAGACACGAAAGGTATGTAGTAGCCTTAAGGGCGGGATTAGCTGTTCTTTTCCATCTGTCCTTACAGCGCACCTGCTCCTGCAAATGCCAGGCAAACTTCTGGAACTATTTCTGCGTCTGCTGTGTAAATTCCACCCGACAATGCCCAGTGACCCTGGTGCTGGAGGGCAGCCTTGGCAAAGGTCCGGGAGGTGGCCCGTGAAAAGGTCTGGCCCTTTGCCCAGGGTCTTCGCTCAGGGTAATCTTGAACCGCGTGTCCTGTTCTGCCTCGTAAGACTGTCCTGGGTTACTTGGGGGCTCAGGGGCAGGCCACACGATGTGTGTCGACACTGAGTGTGGAGTGGCCACCCGGTGTCAGCTGGGCCTCTGGAGGGGCTGCAGAGTAAGGTCAGCCCGGAGGACAATGGGCCGCATCTGTGTGACCCCCTCTCCACAAAAACGCCAGCAATCGAGGCCTAGGTGAGCTTCCCTGGTGGACACCACTCTGTGTACATTGCCACACACGTCAGCTGGAATAACTCCCTGCTGCTGCAGGACTTCCCGGGACGGGACAGCGGGGAGCTCCATGCCCGGCCCTCCTGGACCCTGCACGGGAGAGTTCCCCCACTGTTGATCTGAGTCAGGCTGCGTCTCCCAGAACACACTGCAATTTTGAGTATGACAGCTTCCCCAGTTCTGAGTCCTGGTAGTGATTATTGGCCCTGAGGGTGGTCTTGGGGACCTCCTGAACTTGTAAAATCCAAGTGATATTTACTTCAGATATGGAGTTGGTTTAGCACCTAGAAACCAATGATTGTATTTAGCATACTGTAGCAATAGCGTAGAAAGAAGAGCCCATGTGATCAGACGCAGAAGAAGGTTTTAGGGGCCTAATGAATTGGTAGGGAAGGCCCCACTGACCTGAGTAAGATCACTCAGAGAGAGAGCTGGGCGGGGGGCTCGGCATGGGACCCTCAGGGACCTCCAGCGTGTGAGGGGCGTGCGCAAGGACTGGCCCCCCCGAGGAGACTTGTGAACAAGGGCTGGAGGATCAGAAAGAGCCGGTCAGAGCCCTGGCCAGACAGCTCAGCTGGTTCTTGCATCATCCCCGTGGGCTGCAGGTTTGATCCCTGGTCAGCGCACATGATATAAGAATCAACCGATGAAAGCATCAATAAAACAACACATCTGTGTTCCTCTGTCTCTGACTGTCTGTCTGTCTCCCTCTCCCCTTCCTCTCTCTCTAAAATCAGTTATAACAACAGAGCCGGCTGTGCAGAGACCAGCAGGACAGCGAGCACCGATGAGCGCTGGACGCCAGCGTGCTGAGCCCTGAGGCTGAAGGGCCCCTGGCCTGGCGGAGACCCGAGGAGGCCGTGCAGCTGAGCAGCAGCAGGAGCAGGGCCTGGAGACGCGATGAGAGGCTGGCAGGACCCGGTCAGTCCAGAAACTCGCGGGCGAGGGCTCCTCACCAGACTCACCTCGGGGTTTCACGACAGTAGGAGGTCCGTGCAGACAGCTGGAGTACCAAAAGTTTGTTTCCGTCGTCACTCCTGCTTGAATGTGAAGTGGTGTGTGATCATCATCTCACAGAGGAGAAGGCGAGTTAATAAGTAGTATTCGTGGGGTAAAATCCCGGAGAATTAGGGAAACATTTTTTTTTGCAAGTAAAATATGGTTAATTCAAAGTAATGTCTGGCTCTAACTAACAGCATTGTGCCAGTGTCAAAGTCACGGCTTGTCAATGTTGTACAGTGTTGTGCGGTGGTACCGTTCGGGGGGCTAGGGGAAGCAGGGAAAATGGGCACCATGTTTTGCAATTTCTTTTTTTTTTTTCCAAGTAAGTTAAAAATTCAATGAACTGCTTTAAAGTATAATCAGAGAAAATGTGCAAAAACCTGGAGGGAGACCCTAAGAGTCTGACCCCTGGAAACACAAAAACCCTCTGGTTGGAAAGGCTTGCCAGTGGCTGGGGTTTCTGCTGCCCCTGTGGCCTCCAGGCCTCCCTAGGGGGCCTGTTGTAGGTCCTGTAGGAGCTACTGGCCCAACCCCCGGCCGGTCCCCCTTGTGAAGGCTTTCTCCTCTCCGAGCCAGAATGCACTTGGCCAGGAAGATGCCCGCCTCACTGACTAGCACATCAAGTCCCCACCCTCTGGTTACCCCCTCTGTCCCCTGCCCCCCAACCCCTCTCTGCACAGGAAGTTGTGCAGGGCTTTGCCGCTCTGGAGGTTGTCAACGTATAGCTGGCAGAAACTCAGGCTCATGCCCTCAGCCTGCAGCACGTGCATGGTCACCTGGTCCCCCGCCTCCTCCCACGGTGTAAGCCCCGTGTCCCTCAAGAACTGCTGGCACAGGTCCCGCACGATGGCAAAGCCGATACCCTTGTTGGCTCTGACTGCCAGCACCACACGAGTGCAGAATGACAAGCTGGGTGGGATGAGCGGCAACTTGAACAGAGAGCAGACGTCGCCGTGGGCCATGGGGGTTGGGGGGTGTTGTGGAGAGGGGTGCGCCCCCGAAACACACTGGTTGGTGCTGATAATCGGGGGCTAGAGACTGATGGCGGTGGAACCGAAGAAACCATCTCAGGAGAGCCCCAACGGTGCCGAGTCCTGCAGGGTGATTGTCTTGGGCTTGGGCCCACCCTCCACTGCAGAATGGGAAGGGTTGCTTTTTTTCCCAGAATGCAATGCAATGGACAGGGTAACTGCTCTGAGGACAAACAATAGACCTGCTTTCTTCCTTATTAAACAAATCAGTCCTGTGCCTACTTCCAGGGTGGGCAGGGCTCCTCCCACTGAAGATGCCCAGTGCGCCCCCCCAGTGGGAGGGAGGGCTTATGACACTTTTACTCGGTGCTAAACCATCCATGGTGTGTGTCCTGGTCACATAACCCGTTTGCTTCAAGAGCCTGGGTTTTGGCGTGGTTTCTGGTCAGTTACTACATGGACACACAAGACCCTGCCCTACTCACTGGTTATAAATGGCCCGTGGCTACTTTCATGCTGTAGCAGCAGATCTGAGTAGTTCTAAGAGAGACTGTGGCCTGCAGAACTGAAAATATTTACTCTGGCTCCTTCTAGAGTGTCTGCGGCCCCTGAGTCACGCTGCACCTTCCCTGACCTGACGTTTAGGTCTGTTAGATCTGTGAGCGGCTCCGGCGTGTAAGTGACGTGCACAGTGGATCGACAGAGGGAACCCTTGAAGCCCCTGCGGGTCTCACTCACCACTCCCGCCCACTGCACTGTCTCCTCCTGCACCACAGAAAGAAATCACGAGACTCACAGGGTTAGTAGCCAACTCTAACAATATTTATGGTTTCTGGATAGAAATTATTTGACAGCCTACAGGTTCTTGTGGTCAGTTCAGGACAGATACCATCTTGGGGCCCTCGGAGGAGCTATGCGAGGCGCTCACCATGGCCGAACTTTCTTTTCCGAAACGAACTGTCCGTGAGGCCCCTCCGCCTCTGGGGGCAACAGGGCCAAATACACAGGGGTCTCTGCTCCTTCTTCTGGGCTTTTGGTGGCCTTGGGCCCGGCCATGTCGGTTCTCACCCACCCTGGACAGCAGGCATTCAGGAGGATCTTGTCTCCTCCCCTGTGCTCACTGAGGTTCCTGGCGTGGATTCGGGACAGGACCGTGACACCGATTTTGGAGACCCCGTAGGCGGTGCTGGGCCAGCCCTCCTTCTCGTGCACCCCGTTCTTTACGTCTTCCACAAACTTGTTCATGAGCCTCACCAGCTCCTCCTCGCTGATGGTGTCACTCCGAAACTTCTGCTGCAGTTCTGGGCTGCAGCTCTTCAGAGCGCTGACACTTGAAGCACTAGACACGTTCACCACCCTGCCTAAAATACAGCAGAAATCGTTCCCTAGGAAGGCACGCACGAGAACGATCATGCCCAATTTGCTGGGGTTTTGAACAGGAAGCTTCCATGGGAGCAATTTCCAGGGTGCTCTGAACATAAACAAAGACTGCCTCCATGAGTAAGGACGTGAAGCAACTGAAGTTCCATTAATAAAAGGAAGAGGGTCTGTCTAGGAGCATGCTAAGGGGGATAGAAAGAGGTACACATTGCATTCAGGAGCAGACAGCTCCTTCTCCCCTAAGACTGTTTTGGGGAACACCGGAGGATCTTATGGTCACTTGTGCAGGGCTGTGTGAACAGGTGCCCACAGACCAACAAAGAGCAGGTGAACAGACAATATCCGGTTTGGAAGGCTGCTACTCTGATTGGGGGAGGTGAAAACAATCAGTTCAGGGGGCTGAACTGCATGCTGTTTCCTCCATGTTCGGGGTTGATAAGCGTGGGAGCAGGTGGTCAAGGGGAAGCGGGTGGCTGCAGTGATGCACAGGGCGGATGACTGTTGACACGGGACCCTCGCACCCCCTGGGGCACCCAGTGCCAAGGACCATTCTCTCTGCCAGTGACAGAGCCGGGACTGCAGGTGGTGACAGCCGAGAGTCCCGGAGGAACGTGGACAACGAGGGCTCCTCCTCAGACTCACCTTGGGGTTTCATGAGAGGCAGGAGCTCTGTGCAGACGTCTCGGGTACTAAAAAAGTTCGTTTTCAGGGTCACTTCCGCTTGAATATGAAATGGTGTGGGATCCTTAACTTGGGGGGAAAAGTAGAGTAGCGTTAATAAATAGGCGGCATGTGTCAAAATTCCAGAGAATGATGGGAGTTTTGTGTACAATTGGCTCCTAGTAATGGTACTCTGCCAAGGACAGTTCCTTGCTAGATGCTCTTGCCCATTGCTGTGGGATGGTGAGGAAGGAGGTAGTGAGGAAGGAGGAAGTCCAGAGGTGCCCTGGGGCTAAGACAAAGGACTGATACAGGACAGAGACCCTGTTCTAAGACCGGTTGTTCCTGCTTTCTGGAAAAGCTGGATCATGGTGAGTCATGACCCCTGCTCCATTATAATAGCATTATAATAAATTCCCATTGTGTGACCCCCTCCTCTGGTGGTCAAGGAAAATCATGGGAGACCACATGTGCAGTAGCTTTAAAGTAATACAACTACTTGTGAATGGGCAATAAAACCCCACCAACAGTAGCCAGGAATACCAGCCCTGTAAGAATAGAATCCCTCCCGCCCCTGAGGGCAATCTCTGCTAAGAGCTGACCAGCCCCCACTTTCTGTGGAGTGTGTTATCGCTTGATAAATCTGCCCTCTATCTTTCTGCTATAAACTCTGTGTTTGGTTCAATCTTTGTCCGCAATCACCGAGAACCTGGTTACCTGTGCCCACCTGTGAAATGGTACCATTCTGGAAGGCTGGGTGAGGGGTGCACAATGGGATCTTCGTGAACCGGATTGTGCAGTTTTCTTGTTTATTTAAAAAGCCATTCAAAATTCGCTCAACTGCCCTAAAGTCTAAACCTGGAGAAACTGAGAACCTAGAAAAGATTCCCTGGCGTCCAGAGCCCAGGGTTTCCAAACAAAGGTCCGTTTGGCCCCAAAGCTCTCAGGTTTCTCTTGCACTTTGATCTACAGGCACCCCTGCGCCCCTCTTTCCTCTAGAGCCTTTCTGCACCCCACAGGTGCCAAGAGCCCCACCGTGGAGATCCCCCGACAGATCCAGCCCAACCCTGGCTAGAGGCGCTCGGGGTCACTCCTCCCCTGAGACCACCCAGCCCCTCACCCTTGAAGGCGATGCCCGCGTTATTGACCAGCACGTCTAGGCCCCCGTACTCCTTGCGCAGGAAGTCCCGCAGGGCGCGGATGCTCTGCAGGTCGTCGATGTCCAGCTGGTGGAAGCGCGGGCTCAGGCCCTCTGCCTGCAGCTGCTGCACGGCCGCCCGGCCCCGCTCCGCGTCCCGCGCCGTGAGCACCACGTCCCCCGAGAACTGCCGGCACAGGTCCCGCGCGATGGCGAAGCCGATGCCCTTGTTGGCCCCGGTGACCAGCGCCACGCGGCTGCAGGACGACATGGCTCGATGTGGAACTCGTCAAGTACAGGTATGCCGAGCGGCCCGCTCTCTGGATGCTAAACCGCGCAGCGGAACCGAGAGCGCCCACCCAGCGTCCGAGCGTCTGCGCTTCTGCAGGTCACGCGCGCGCGCGCGCGCGGGCGCGCTGCCCAGAACCTTCTTGCCTGGCGCGCAGGCGCAGATGCAGGCCCCGCCCCTCAGGGCGTGGGCCCGAGTGAACCTCTCGGCGGTGCTGCAAAGCAAACAACCGCGACTTGGCAAATTTACAAAACAGACGGGCTGGAGTCTAAGGCCGTTGGCTGCTGGGCACTGTTAGTCCGCAGAGAATCTTTCTGGTGGGTCCTGTGCCTACAGTCGGCCCTCCGAGGGGTTTTCCTGGTATTCCTCTAACCAGGCAGTCACAGCTGCGCTTGCAGAAACGGAACGAACATTTGTACCGATTTTTTTTTTTTCACCCCCCTGATGTTTCCAAAATAGAGCTCGAAAACTAACGTATCTGCAACTGGAGTTGTGGAATAAGCTAGGGGAGGTGACGGGCTCATAGGTGTGTTGATTTGAAAGGAAAGCTACTGGCTTATCCTTGGCTGGTTTTCACCTAACAGCGGGCGGTGTTTACTAAACTGTCACGGGGTTGCCTGCCTAGATCAGCGATTTTCAGCCGGTGTGCTGCAAGAACCTTTAAAACCTGCGACACCTGACTGTTTAGTTG